TGTCGCTATATCTGCAACACACATCCGAACAATGTTTAAACTGTGTAACTAACCGACATACATATGCCTAGCCATGCATGCTATCGCGTAATCATGTGCCCCATATCTTAAGGAGAGACAGACATTCGATATGTACAGGACGAAAATCCATATTAAATCCCTCGGGGAGGTGTGACAGTAATTCTATCGCCTTTGTCACCAGCTAATTTTAGGCCTAATGTTATCGCGTGGTGCTAATAAGAAGCGCGTGCATCCATAATTAGATTATGAACGGTCAAGATGTGTCCGTCGATAAGATAAATATTCTATTTTTTTATCATCGACGGGATGAGTATGGTGTTGGGTGAAAATATAATATTGAGGAGAAATGTTTTCTGTCAAAACAGTCTCTTTGTTATGTATAACATGAAGCATTGCTATTTACACGGCATGGGCGCGTTTGTTACAAGCAAAATATCAATTAGAGTCGGTTAATGCATGCGGGTGGGTCCAGTTCATTGAAAAAAAAACATGGGCAAAGTAGCACTGACAGACCTATCGTCTGTCACAACAGGAGGAGTAAAGCCGACTATCGTGCTAATTGAATACTTTGGAAAGGCTCATCACATCGTGCCACACACCAACAATGCTTTGTTCCGGGGCAGACCCATGGTGATAATTAATATCCCTAATTAAAAGACTGCAATTTGGATGCCCCTGGCTGACTTGTTCATTTTGGTAGCCTCGCGCGTGTAGTGTTATACTGTTGCGTGAGGAAGTCCCGGAGCCCAGTTGGCTCGTGCCTCGGCCAGGGAGTGTTTCGTTGTACAGACAAAACGGCTGCCGATCGTCCGTAACACACACAATCAAATGTTTATGTAAGTCACATGTGTGTCAATAAACTTGACAGCTATTTCGTTTGGATGTTTACCTATGCACTGTATAGCCGAAATTTGCAAAGAACACGCAGAACTCTGTATATATTTAGCGCTTTCTCTAGGAATTCAGGTAAATGGCAATGCAAATCACGGATAAAGTGTTGTAGAACGCTTTTGTTTAGAGTATGTGAGGTGATCAGGGATGAGGTAGGGGGATCTGGAAGGGAGGTATGCACCGATGCCAAACAGTAGGACTTACAGTAGCTTTCTAGTGCTGTCCTGTAGTCACTGTTCATACAAACACGCAGGCAATGCACAGCCGCCGACAAACCCCTATCCGTGTCTGCCAGAAACAATCAGCGCATTCCCCTTGTTGTAGACAATGCAGGTGCATTTCGCGTCACTGCATCGATGAACGTCATGTGGATTGCCTTGCAAAGATAAAATCCATGACATCTGGCAATGTTTTGTCCGACAGATCAGTTCGGTTAACTCGAAATACTTACAGTGTCTAATTACCAACATCAATGTATAAATACGTACATGAGCGGGAGCTTGTAGAAATCATTAAAAGGCGACATACACTTTTTCGTAAGTGACATGTGACAGTAGAACTTACAAAAGAGTGTTTTACGACCAAACTTCATTGAGGTTGTACAAATAACGCCGAAAGTAGCATCTTACTACGCGTCAGTGTAGTGATTACAGTGGCCTCAGATGCATGGATATATTTATGACATATGTAAGTAATAATACTTCGAAACTATAACTCCTACACAATTAATATCCTACCGTGTGTATTTAATTACAAGCCTCTCACTCGTGTTTCCTCGTTTGTTAACAAGACCAGCGATGCCCTGTAGCTGCGTTACACTCGCAAGTATAAATTATGCACGAACTTTTGTTTATTGCATAACAAACAACAGTTTATTTGGAATTAAAACTGTTAAACATAAGGCCTCGCTCATCCTTCGCATTATTTGTTTTAACTTTTCTTAACCCTCTCCCTCTCTTTATTAAATTTTGAAAAGAAACGTACTCCGGTACCGTCTCTTCGTATTCGTCAGTAAATATGTCGCGGAAGGTTGAAAGTCGCGTTACTCATTTGATTACATGCCACGTTTTCGAAAGAGTAATCCCACATATCCCTACTACGAGATTTGAAGAAGTCCAAATGCCTAGAATTGATTTAATTATAGACGTTAATTTGCATCCTTCGGTGTTTTGGCGCTATCCCTGCGTGTATACATTTATTTAGCAAATAAGTAAATAAAAAAAGACTTGTGAAACATGTAAATAATAGAGCGACTGTTAATAAGACGTGTTTCTGGTTACAATTCAGAGGTATGTGTCGTTCTCAGGACGCCGACAGCGACATCAAACAATTTATTTACCCAGTCATCGATCTGTAAACATTGCTAACTAAACAACAAAACGGACTTGGTGAAAGGATCCGGAATCTCCTATTGACTTTCTGACACCAGATGTTTATAAAGAGGATAAATTGAAGGGTTATTTAATCATGCGTATTGTGGAATACCAGACCAGAAACTGAAGTACAATCAGATTAACAACCAGAAGTGTTGAAGAATATTGAAAGACTTTCGCCTATATCGATAATAACACAATATACATGAACATATTACTGGTATATTACAGTATCGATTTCAGAATGATAATATTGATTTAACAATTAAAATACCGATAACATCAAGAAGTACATTATAATATCACATAAAGACAATTCATTCCCCAATTTTGTTTTTTGTTTTTTTTTTAAATCGAATACATGTGTATTCACAGTCTTCCAGTACTACAATGTCGACACGTGCTTACTTTGTGTTTTGTATATGACCTATTCACAACGCCGTGAATTGCACGTATGATATTTACTCGGAATGTAATTTGTCTGATCGGATTTCACGATTTACCGAGAGTGTCATTGTTCGGTACACTTTATAATACACTAATATCAATTACAGAGAGTTTCAGTTCTTATCACATTCGTTTTCTCATCCCATCATGTGTTTATCCTTTCGCAGTAATTACTATAGATAAATGTAAAGCAGGCACACCTTTCAGCCGTTCACCTGAACTTTAGATAAATCAGTTACAATGACCCCCAGCCTGGCCTTTGTTGAACGGGCGCTATTAGAGTCCTACTCAAACTAGGGTCAATCTTTTATACAAAGCGATGAAGCATTACAAACCTATTTTACCTGTAAGTTTTTTTTTTGTACACAAGACCAATTTCTTTACATTTCCCGATATAAATGACCTCCATGAAATATCTATGCACCTGCCTTTGTAATGTCGATCTGAGACGTTTGAGAGAAACGATCAAAGACATACAACATTGATTTCTTCTAAATGAAAATGATTGACGATCGAATTTACAATAATCAGCCTCAAGGGTTTTGTCACATTTCAAACTGCGTGCCCGTGTGGTCAAGTTGATCAAAGATAGAGATATGAGATCCTCTTCGCTTTGTGAAATTTTGTTTAAATAAAAGTAACACTTAAGGGTCTGTGACATTCATCGGTGAACCTGAAACACTGTCATAGAGGCTTAACTACCTTTTCATATCTACCATAGATCAAAGCATACAAAATCCTTTCAATTTAGTCCCTACTCACATTTAATACAAAGTGCCAAAATTTGGATTTATACGTTAGAAACGACACATTAGCAAGGAATGACGTATGCTTTATTTATTTTTTTGTAACAGGTATTGTATATGGTTCATACCAGGTAGGTGGAAAATATTATCCCCCCACCTCCGGTCTAAATCAATTTGTCTATCCGTCCGTTCGTTAACACATATTTAGGTGCACTCGACCATTGCACATGATTATCGACGTGTTCTTAGCATGTGACAGCCGGAAGGGCGAGTGGTCCTCTCCAGTCTAAATCTCCTCATCAGCTACACTTCCGACAGATAGGCACAATGAACTATTGGGCCTAGCAACTCTCGACCGTCTCTGGGATGAATGGAGAAAAAGAAAGACCTCCGCCGCGCACTCTCACGAGAGAATAGTACACATTGTCCTCAACAATTATAATTTCCTCCTGAAGACTAACCTTATTAGCTACGGACCATCAACTTATTTTTAAATATGACACTTTCTGACAGGACTATAGTCGATTTAAGCATTATTTTACAGGCAATATTGTGTCCAAGTTTTTCTTTAATTGTTGTAGATCTCAGTCACATCTCAAGTAGGTCGTGAGAGATCTGTCAGCAGTTTTGTTGTTTACGATGCACTACACTATATAGTACCAAGTCGTTTGTTGTACGTAGATAAAAAAAGTTTCTTGACGTTTCAACTGTCAACTTAAGCGTACTAACGTGTGTACATTGTCTGCCAGAGGCAGTAGCCCGTGCACCTGCCCTTACAGATGTAAAAACGCCAAGCAACGGGGAGATAAGACGAGATATTTTGACCCGAGGGTCATGGGCATGTCCCCTGGGGGTCACAACGTGGCCTAATGCTATGACCTAGTGCCATATTATCTGTAAAATAACCAGCGATGTGATATGTTTGGCAATGTTTGACGGATTTGTAAAAAAACACAGACAGTGTTTACATAAAACACTGCGACACCAAGGGTGGTGCAGGGAAATTTTGCATTGGCTGTCCTAATGAGTGTTCATGTTTATTAAATACACGTTGTAAATTTAAATAACACGCAAGTCACGGAGAAGCCTGTTGAAAGGGCCCCGTCACAGCCGAGGGTGACGAGACCGGCTACACCAAGTGCATGAGAAAAACAGGTGCTGTTTCGACTAGCAGATCGACGCCAGACCCTTGTAGACAGATAGTTGTTTTCAAAGAAAACATCATTTAGGTTGACAAACAAAACGATATTCCTTTCATATTTTTGGTATTATTTTTAACTCGATGAGACCCACGTGTGCTGTATGTACGGCGGTTAACATTTCGTTTTATGTTCCCAAGAAAACGGCAATGTTTTTCTAATCTGTTACATTTATGTATAACTGATGAAACCTTTTTGCACACTCTTCACGCGTTTTCGGTATTAGTTTCAACTTCATGGTATTTTTTCTTGTTTAATGTTTCCTTTTTTACCCTGAAATAAAGTTGTCTGACATATTTTATGAAAAACAGAAAAGTACCCACCTCAGCATCAATGACGACTTTTATGATAAATCCCATAGTGGCCAGGGTAAGTATCCGAACAGGGACATCTCCATATCCCATTACTATATGGTTCCATGAACGTAAAATCCACACCTAAAACTAGTTCCGAATGTGTAAGGAACTCTGGAATGTAAACTCAAATGTTATACAGGTGAGGGCCATTTTTTTTACATCCACCGAAGCCCTTATATTCCGTTATTGATAAAATATGTATATATATTTTCAACAAATAATTCGTTCTATAGACACGAACGTCCCGAGCATGTGTTACACATCATAAGCTATACTTGCACACAACACCAGCAGAAGTAAGCCGACTGTCACAGATGTAGGTTTTTTCACACACAATTTTGCCGCTTTATCTCCAATACACGTGCTACTGGGACTGAAAATGTCAACACTAGGTATGGGCGCTACAGTTGAGGGCGCACGGTAGTTACAAGGCGCCTCTCCATCCGTCCAGGACCTGGAAGTAATTCCAGCAGTCATGTAAAGACCCTTAGTGTCACCTCCCGTGAATGTTTAATGTACCCATTAATAGTTCTGCCAGTGTCAAACCCCTGAACGAAACAGTGAAGTACAATAGCTCTGTGATACTTTCCTTTTCTCACCAAACCTTTAAATAGACCTATACAAATTACCTATTTCTTCTACTGGTATCATACAGCGCACACAAGCATTCCCGATCACTCTAATGTATTGCATTGTCAGTAGAAGTATGTTGGGTACCATACGTATACACGACTATTACTGTAGTAGTCCCCGAAGCTGTTCCAAGTCAAGATTCCGAGGCTGAGCAGCCACGGCGCTGAAATGCGGTGTATCGTAGATCGACTCGCAAGTTATAGTAGATCGGCTCTCGCCCCTGCCTGTGCTACAGATGACTGGAGAAGATTGCTCCGCTGTACAGTGGCTTCACAACACGGACGTTGACAATGCTGATAACCAACAAATTACTTACATTGTCAATATGTAACCTGTTCGATTATGTAAAAAACACGACATAAAGTATTACTGATAATAACGATAGAATCACACACGCTTCGCCGCGGTCTGTTAAGACTGCATATTATCAGATGAATAAATGTTTGACGTAGCTACACTAATCCCACTTTCGCTGGGCTGTTTCATTGTGAACAAGTACTAATGGTTTGTCTGTGAAATCATGGAAGTCTTAGATTTATATTAGATATATGACATGGACAGACCGATAACCAGGAGTCATGCACTTGGTTATACTGAGTTAATATTATACAAGTAATGTGATTTCGTAATATACGAATGTACTTATATACTCGCTTTAATGTTGTAAAGTCAAAAAGACTTCAGGGTACTATAGTTATCTACCAGTGGTGTATAAGTATGTACTTAACACTCGTCTTATCCGAAAACACGAATAAAGACACATAGTTCTACCATATCAATGTTTGTGTTTATCTGTGTTATTGACTTAAAGCTACGTCAGTCGACCTGTCTCTTGTCCGAAGTCCTGTATGTATACTAGTCCCGCACAGCCCGGACACAAACATCTATTATTGACTAACCTAAAGTGCCATTATTTCTCTCGTTACCTTAGCGTCTAGATATGATAGTTAAAGCATCAAACGTTTTAACGAATTAAGGGATACATATGTGATGTGTTTTCTATTATTGATGATGGGCTGTCTCTCAGTACTCTATTAAGTACGATCGCAGTACTGATAACTGGCAGAGAGGTCTGTTTCGTCCAAGTTTTTACGTATTACCAACAAAAGAGACCGGTGTTAAGATGAAATAGACGAAGGAAAGCAGAGAGCAAGAGAGAAAGATTCTTAAAGTTGCAATGGGAACACCACCTCAGCTTTCCCCCTCCTATACAATGCCACAATCAGGTGATATTGGTGTCCGAAATATACCAAGACGTCAAATGTTTGCCAAAAACATCGCAGAAATACGTCCATCACTAACACAAACATAAATATAATGAATGGTTTAAGACACACAAACTCATTTTGTATTTGTATTATTTTTCAATCACAATGTATTAGGAAAACAAAACCACCAAGTAAATTAATATTTCGTAATGACGTAAGTAGGTAAATACTGTGTTTATTTTCACTTTTATTAAGGCCGCTTTAGAAATTTTCCACCGCCAAAGAGTTCTTGAGAAAACGAAGCAGTTTACTTCATTTGTTTTGTTTAACTTGTGAACATTACTTAATTCACCTTAATTTGGTTTTTCGATTACAGGTGTGTATCTCGTGTATGCTGGTAAAATATAATACAAAATATGTGGATTTGAATGCAAGTCTCTGAACTGGGTTAAATTCTATTTTACAATCTCTATCATCCGTCTGTTTAAACAGCTTCCGTTGTTTACACAACAGTATGATGAATGAAATTCTGAAGGTTGGGCAAAATGGTTCCTGAGAGAGCGCGCGCTGAGCAGACTTCTGTAGCGTTACGGCATAGCGGAGGTGTAAATTGGTTAAAGTTCCCATAGGACATCCAATCAGCTGCAAGTAAATACCCGCTGTTACCTATCAATGAAAAAAACTAACACGCTTTACAGCATGTTTTGTACTAGTGACACATGGTTCCTGTTTGTAAAAACGGTGCCTTAAGCTTGGTTATACTGGTATCGCAACGATCACACAATGTTTTTGGATATATATTTGAATTTTAAATAGAGATTATGGTTTTGAATTCAATAGAAATTGAATTGTTTTTTCCAATTTTAATAATCAACAAAGCGTTTGAATCCCCCTTTTCCCCTTTTCTTTGATGAACATGGTATGACCCGAACATCTGACCCGGTAGTTAATGAACATTTCGAAACATTACAAGCGTTCTTGTACCAACGGAGAAATTAATATGTTGTATATGATAACGTACCGACTTGGCACAGAATGAACTCTCAGTAGACAACGATTTGCTATACATGAGTCTGGTTAATGCTTCTCCCGTGTTTCCTGTCTTGAAAATATTGAAGAAACTGAAATCGATCTTGTTTCTTCGTTTGAAAAACTTGAAGTCTATATATACTGTACTTCAATCCCTTATGTTCGGCGATGACGTAAAACGCCAACAAACCTACACCTATATTCTGTATACAGCTGACGCAAAACGCCAACAAACCTACACCTATATTCTGTATACAGCTGACGCAAAAACGCCAACAAACCTACAAATATAGTCTGCATATACATGACGTAAAACGCCAAAAAAGCTCCAAATATATTCTGTATATAGATGAAGCAAAACGCCCAACAAACCTACAAATGTATTCTGTATACACATGACGCAAAACGCCAACAAACCCACAATATATTCTGTATATACATGACACTAGACGCCAACAAACCAACAAATATATTCTGTATATAGATGTATTAGTGAATCATCTATGACTAAAACTGTGAAAAAATGCACGTTGCACATATCAGATAAGTATGGAGAAGAAAAGATCTTAATAGTTCAACGGGTTGACGCAATGAGATACAAGAAAACATATTGATGTATATCGATACATTTACCAGACCAAACAATAATGGAGGCAATGCTCTTGACCATATGTGACATCACTTTCTCTTTCCTACTGGGATCTACTTATTCAGTCGATAGGTATTGTATACGTGAAATGTGGCCACGTGCATAAGATTATAGCAACATCCTGTCAATAGGAATGACACACAAATAACAAACACTGGTTAAGCTTCTTATTGTTTAAACCACAGGATGAAACTTTGTCGGTGCGAATATAGAGAAATTCATTGATTTTGACTTAAATATACTATCTTTGAAAAAAATCCAAATGGAAATATGACTTTGATGTAGTTGTTTATAGAACGCAGACATTTCTGTTTCAGCACGCAGCGTGCATTCCAATACAGATAGGACATTTCTTTAAAAAAGTGTATTAATATACATTCCAGACATCGAACTTGGGTTTGTCCTGTTAGAAAATAAAATAGATACAGTATATGATAACTCACGAATGGATACTTTGAGATATATTGATTTTGTAAATTCCAAACACTTTCATTGTGATGTATCAAAGACAAACCTTTAATTTTGAAACGATGTACGTAACTATTTCAATACATGTCTTTTTTTCTCTATGAGGAAGTTTAATGGTTGCTACAGGAATCTCGTTGGGAAATATTCTGTTTCCTTGTTCAATTGGAAGCTGGACGTGTTCGATGCTCGTCAGTATACACCACAGTTCTGTTGTTGTTAACCTTGCCGTGATATTACATAATTGACTGTCCACTATTTAAATTGTATAGATGTCGTGGAGGAATCAGAAGACGCTCATTCTTCCGGAACACTTTCTTTTATTTGTTCTTGTACGTTAGAAGGTATCGTCATGTAAAACTTTCTTTTGTTCATATTTTGCCATAGTTTATCGATTCTGAGTTTGAATTCAGTTGGTATTTTCTGTGTTGTTTTAAAACAGAGTAAGTACCGTCTTCAGATTTTCCCGGGGTTGTTTTCTTTTAACATTATGATGGCAATCAAATTGTTTCAACAAATAATCGATTGAACCACTGAAGTCCCACAGGATCATACCATACTTTAATAATGTCACAATGTTTCTTATGTTCCTTTCAATATTGCTTTTAAATCACGCGACAACTTTTATTACATAATTATCTAAAGATTTCATCACAATTAGGCGATAATTACACATGGAATGACCTTTCTTCATACCTTTAATGAAATCGAGAGCGGGAACCCCAGGCAATTGAATCGGTTATCATCATACAGTCAAGAAAAGGGATTTTAAGGGATATTAGAAAATATTTCATTTAAATGAAAATCTGAAAGAAGTATCAGAGCAAAAAACCATATCACCGGAAGGAATATAGCGTTATAACATTGATGTTTTATTTCACGAAAGTGTGACTTTTCCTGTGATGCAAAAAAGTGTCTTTCTTTTGTCTTCGGGCCAGAGTTGAGTCAGACTTCTATAATACTCAACAACAAGAAATCCATTAAACCTTATATCATACCGCAATTACAATACTGTTCTTCTATTAGTTTTAAAAAAAGAAGTCATTTCTGTATAGATGATGATACTAGCCTACGGCTTACTCAACGTTCGAACATTTTTTCGCACTCCGCTTTTACAGGCGGAAGCACCTGAGGCGGTAAAGAGGCGCCATATCTAGTGAAAATCGTCTTGTGATAATGCTTTAAAATGTGTTACTATGAGATATTAGTTCAAATCTCCCTGTCATTCTCCTAGTGGGACGGCGATAGCGCGAAGTCTAAAAGTAGAGAAGTAGATACATATCAGGTTGTCGACTTCCTTTATCTGCAATCATCGAAATGGGTAAGAATTAAACTCCGCCATTTATCAGAAAATCGTACATGCTTATTCAATTATTGAAACTGGACAATACGTTTAACACGCAGATGTTGTAAGGGACGTTATAGTTAAAAACAAGGAGGATGCATCTGTCTCTGTGAATAGAAGCTCTTTTGGGATAAGAATACATAGAGCAATTCCGGCTTGTTCTCAATAGCACCTCAAGTTTTAACCTCATTCAAGGTGATATGCAAAGAGAATGTCTTTATATGATACATGTACCCATATCTGCAGAACACATTCAGTTTATGTTTATTCTTAACTGTCTAGACGACCCAAAGTGGTCTTTCTTGAAAACAAGACGATTTTGATCTAATAACACATATATGGACGATATTAATCAAAGAGCCACGTCGGTTCGATACATATATCAGCTAACATGGTATGAACAAACACTTTTATATAACTAACATTTTCTCTGTTTTGTGTC